ACAAGCCATGTGGCGATTTAACATACCAATTTTCCTTTTATTTTAACAATAGCCACAATTTGGGCAACTGAAAATTGGCAGTTTTGCCATTGAATTTCAGTGTATGTTTTCAAGATCACAAAATTAAAGGTCTGGTGGTCTGTGGGCCAAGGTTGTTTTCTCATGTTGTAATCAAAACCTTGTCTCTGTTTTACACTGAAAGCATTTTATAGTCAAATCTAACTGCATTTTGTCATAGTTATGCTTGGGGAAACAGATGCAAACCAGACTCCTTATAAATGCCTACATTCTAAAAAAGACATTAGTGCCAGATCAATGTGCATACTATACTATAGCATTTACTATACTTTACTATATACATAATCTCAAGAATGAAGAGAGATCATATTTTATCACACCCACATGATAGGGAAGTATTCGTTCTATAATAAGAATGTTTAATTTCTAATTGATTGCTTAATTCATTCATCCATTCATTGCAGAACAGCTCTTCATTAAATTCTCTTTCTTTCTGAAGTAAACCAATACATTCCAGGTTGTTATATTTTTCATTCTCTTTTCTGCTCAATTCAGATGCCTCAATTCAGATGCCTCCTTATTCATTTTCCTACTGACCTTTCTCTGCTTATCTTTTCTAGTTTATAATCATCTGATTGTTATCAGGAAGCCCCTTAACTCTTTTCAATTCTCCAGCACAGTGAAGAATGCTAAATACAATCCTTCCATTAAAAAATGCCAGTCTTCATTACCAGCATATTCAAAGCCTGTAAATAAGAGTTACACAATATTGATTATGTAAATTTTTACAAACAAGGGACTGTGCAAACAAAAAAGGTTTGCAGGTGCCAGCAATTCTTGTCGCAGCCCTTCTGGTCTAGCATTGCAAAGTTGAAGGTTTTTGCCCTGGATTTGAATTTTTGAGAGGTATGAGAAGGAATATGGTAGCACTCCTCTCCTTTGTATTTCAAATCTCTATACACACCAGAGAAATAAGAGCACAATGAAATGAAAATGTGAGGGTCATTATTGCATGACCTGACCCATTTCAGCTTTGGAAAAGTGGATTTATAATAGATTGGTTATTTATTGAAAAAAATCAATCTTAAAGGACAGTTACTGATACTGTTGTAGACACTTTTTCATGTTTATATAGCTTGTGAGTTTAGGAAATCAATGCATAAGCAATTGTAAACATTGAGCTTACCTATTTTAATTGCTGATGTTTCAAGCACAAGGCTAAATAAAGTCTCTAATTTATTAAAGTCTTCTGTTGTTCCAACATGACAAATTCAGCAAAAGTGAGTAGGCTCTTTGGCAGGGATTCACTAAAAATCTTTTTCTAGTTTTAAGAATTAAAGGGAAATTATGGAGTTGGAAAATAGCAAGTGTCTATAGCAAGGAACTAATTGAGCAACATATCAAACAAAGTGAAATTGATTTTGTCCTTTATTGAAAACCAATAAACCAATCTCAAAACCTTTCTTAATTATTTGAAAATCTTATTAAGGATAGCAGCAACTACTAATGTGTTTGGAAATACATTCCCATGTTTCATATATAGTTACAAAATTTCATATTTAATGGAACTTCACTTGGAACTATGAATCTATCCAAGATTCACTTTAGATCAGAGCTTCTAAATACCTCAAATAACTGTTAGTGTTATTATTCTTTTTTTTTTTTAAATTAAAAAAATTTTTTTTTTATTTTGTTACATAAACAACACATACCCACACCAGTGGGAAAAGAAAAAATCAAAACACAAAAAAGACAAAAAAACAAAAAACAAGGCAGGGGAAAAAAAAAGGAAAAACAAAAGAAAAAAAGAAAAAAAACCCACAGGTATATATTATAAAAAAGTATATCAGCTGGTTACAACATGTTTTGGTGCATCTCTTCCATTAATTCATATTAATTCAAATATCTTAACTCAAATGTTTACCATATTGACATCATACCTCCACTTTTAGTTGACTACAGATATTTAAACATCTTTCATCCTTAACTATGCCAAAGAATTAATCCATAACACCTGCTGACATTTCATTTACT